TCCATGGTGTATGGTTTGGGTAAAAGCTTGGGGCTTTAGAGCATAGGCGTTTAGGGTTGACGGGTGTAGGGCCTATGTAAGGTTTAGTGCGTTTAGTGTTCGAGGGATAACTGCTGTTCAGAAACCCCAGCATTGAGAAGGTTGCTTTTGATGCGTTGCTCAGGTGGGGTTTAGTCGAGAGGCAGGTGGCCGAAGGCTTAAGGTTCACACACGACACAAAGGGCACTGCATTAAAGGAAACTACAGGTGGGGAATTTAGGGTATATAGGGCTTCTATACGGCTTCTTTAAGGTATATAGACCTTCTATAAGGCTCCTGTAACGGTAACTACCCACCTGAAAATGTCCTAGACTGCATCTACCCCACACCCTACACCCTAGACCCGAACCGAAAGCAAAACCCAACACACCGCGAGCCTGAAACGGGCGGATCGTCTGATTTTTTGCTCTGCTGCTCCTCTTGCCTATCGTGCGGTGTGGTGAGGGCTGTAAGCGACCGGATTATGCTGTCAAGATCAGGTATGGTCTCTTGAAGAAGGCTCTTTACACAATGCAAGCACAAGCTCATGTAATCGTCGCGCATATGAAAAGACTGCGCAGAATGGCATGAACAGCGAGATAATGCTCTCTAAGGATCCATGTGCCCAAATAGTATTTAATAGGTACTACTTTAAGCCGAAGTATATCTATTTGGGCACATGGACCCCTAGGGGCTGTTCGACTCGTAAGGCAACTCGAGATCCGAACTGCTGCCTGCGGAAAGGCCCCAGCAAACCCAAACAAGGAAGCTTCGCTGTCGCTTTCCGTAGAATTCTTAAATCGCATGCTCGCAGGTGGTATGGGCCGGTATAGAAGGAGCAGGGACGCCTCCTCAACTACACGGCCTTTGAATATGCAGCTTTTATGTATGTCTGTAAATGACAGCTATGTCCAAGAAGATTTTCAGCTTGAACAGAATCTTGCTTCCGGAGTTCAACCGCTTGACATGCGGTCACAATGCTTCAACATGCAACCCTAAATCCTAAACTGTTCTGGCTTCATGGCTGGCCTGGATCACAAGAAGCGGAGCCAATCACGAAACAGGGCTAGACGGGCCTGTCTTGCCCTCGAAGCGAATCCAGGAACACAAAGATTCGAATCTGAGAAAGAGGGCTCGGATGGTCGGAAGATTTTTCTTCGTAGCGTTGCCTGGTTTGGAGTTTAGGGCTTAGGATCTGTGATTCAATGCTCATGTAAAGGCTTGACTGAGGAATTATGCCCTCCAACCTGCCGGCTGACTCATGATTCTTAACTCGAAGCTGACGCTAAGCATACAAGGACCAGAAAAGGACCAGCCAAAAAACAATCTATGCTAGGGTCATGAAATAAGCTGGCCACTCCTTCAAACCTCGAAATCAATGCTGCTAGGGACTCAAGGCTGCAAGGGAATCGGTTTCACTTACTCAACCGACATTCAAAACCCGGAGCTCGTAACTAATCCACAACCCGTACATCGAAACTTCTGGAATGAACTGGGTTTCGAAAGCAGACAAACACAAGAACCCCTGCTTTGGAAGACACCACCTGGGGTACCTAATTGGGGTTAGAAGTAGTTATAAGTATAGTTACCTTATTATGGTTACCTTATTTATAACCTTAGTTACTAAGTCCCATGAACCTTTAAGTATAGACCATAGGCAGTTCCGGAAGACTTCAACGAGCGAGGGGGGCCCTAAACCCCGTTCTCAAGCTCCAAGAACTGGAGATGCGAATCGAGTCTGTTCCAGGCATAAGGTTTCGGGTTCGAGGATTTAGAGGGTTTAGGGTTTAGGGTTTGGGCTGCCGACTGTCCTGAGATCTACTACTGTCGGCTTTGCTGTCAGGATCCCAAGACCAAATTACCGTCAACCCTAAACCCTCAGCCCACCTTAAACCCGAAACCCTATAGCTGAAATCCTAAAGCCTAAACCCTCAACGAAGGAGTTTGAACTTGCCCCTAAACCCTAAACCCGAAACCCACGGATGGGACTGCGGGGCTTGCCAACCCAGTTGAGGGCCTCAAAGCTCTAAGTCCTGTTCTGATTCCCTAAACCCTACCTATAGTCTCCATTGTAGTTCCTTTTTTTAATTTAACCAATTATGTATTAAGGATTTTTATAAGGTATCCCAAAAAAGGAACTACAATGGAGACTATAGGTAAGCCCCCAAACCCTAAACCCCTAAACCCCTAAACCCCCAAACAGCACACCCCTAAACCCCTAAACCCTAAACCCTGAACCCGTAAACCCAATGCTGTGTAAAAACCATGCAGGAAGTTGCTAAGAGTCGAGCGAAAGGCAGGAAGAAGAAGTTGACGACAGTGGGAATCTTGGATTGCTTTTGGTTTCGAATGAGGTGGCGAAAGCAGGAATCCATTAGCTTGTTTTTAGCTTGAACCATCTTGGTTTCTAGTTTTTAATTTGCGCGATATAGGACTTGGGGCATTGGGTATTCATTGAAAAAACCCAAACCCTAAACCCAAACCCTCAAATGGTCAGACTTGAACCTCCACTCCAACAGCAAAGGCTGCTCCAACCGTCAAACATCACAAGCAGACTCCCGAACCCCAAATCCTAGCAGCCAGTGAGATATGCTTGCAGTATACTTCTGTCGGGAGATCGAGGACTATCTGATGCTTGGGGATGTGTAGCAGCTGTTCGCACGAGGTGGGGCCTAGAAGCACTGCTGCGAGCCCAGACTACTCTCCCACAAATGCTGCATCGAAGCCCACATGTCTGCATGCTGCTTCTCCAGAACCCTAATAACCGTAAGCCCTAAACCTCTGAACTCCTATAGACCCTAAACCCGTAATCAGCTGGCTAACGATCCAGGCGTCGCTCTCGCTTGGAGTGTCTGCAGACTGCTTGCATAAACCCGTAAACGCCTAATCCCTAAACTGAAAGTCAAGGGCAAACTCGAAGCAGTTCTTCTGTCTGTGCTTGCGGCTTGCAGGGCTTCATGTGAGTCTCAAGGAGAACAGCCAAGAGAAACAAATTCAGCTCTAAATCTTGAAAGGCCAGTGACTCAACACTCATTGCTGCTAGTAGGGGAATGCAACTCCCCAAACATACTACCCGCAAATGCCCTTAAATTACATTGCCCTCAAACCAAAGACTTCTGATTTATTGCACATAAACTAACCGGCAGCAGCAGAACATCTGCCAAAAGAGAACACCTTACGTATACAGTTCCTAATTTTATTAGGTCTAAGCAGAGAAGGA